TTTATCTATATGTGAACCGACTAACATCAATCTGCATATGGGGTATAGTATAAACATTGTACTAATGTAATTTAATATGATAATGAACATCATTGAGACCCACTCTAATATACAACACCCCAAAAACATTCTTCAAGTGTATTAAAATGCAAATACACACGTGTTCATCTACGTGTGTCCCCCTACACCATTACAACATCATCAGCATAATGATCATTGTCAACATCAGCTATCCCAACATGTTCATGTTTGCTGTATGAAGGAACGAATGTAAGAACGAATGTCGACGATGACAACAACAACGATATATGACATGTATGAAATGCAAAAAAAATGAATGCAACGAATACTCGTAGAGAAAGTAGAATAGATTAAAACGGAGAAAGAAAAAAAACAACGAATGCTAAATGTGCATTTAACAAGTATATTTATGCAAATCTCTGGAAAATCTTTTTGTTATTATAACAAGCATTCCCCGCACCGCCCCACCATCAAATGTCCAACAACCAGGTGGTATTTTTAACACACTGGGGATATATTTAAACCCATTGTGGGGTTTATTTGAAAATTAAATTTTTGGACAGGAGTTTTTTGGATGAGAAAAGGAAAAGGGATTTTAATTTAATTCATTACAAATCGAGAGAGTTATGATAAAAATTGGAAACTTGTTAAAGTCTACCCCTTATTTTCTATATGAAGTATTAAATATGGAATTTCCCCCTCTCCCTATTGACATGAAAAGTGCAAATTTTATATTGACCTTACTTTCCTCGTGTCACTGTTACTTTGTTTCCTTCGATGATAATTAACCTTACATATGCCGGCCACGTGCCACAGTGATCCTTCAATTTTATAATCCATTCGAAAATTCCGCAAGTCATCGACAATAGTTTACTTCCGTCAAGAGTTCAAATCATTATAAAGCAATTCATTGGATTGTTGCGTGTCAGTCTGCTAAGCACGATACTATCAGTTGGTCCGTTTATGGCAAACAAAAACCAAGTCCTTAATTCCTTTAAAAGGTGTCTATGTTTCCACATGGCCATACAATGATTTGGCAAATATTTTATAAAACGTGTTCAAATACCAGCAACGAAATTGCATTATATTTTACAGAATTTTTTATTACAATATATTTTTTCATTTTTGAATACTTTTTAATCACTTTGAAATGCGATGATTTATGCCATGTCATGGCAACTGTTCGATCAAAGAAATAAAATGGGGGACTGGGCACACAATGCCGTGTTGATGATGGGAATTGTAAAATAGAAAGGCGTGTGTCCTTCGTTTATAAGGAACAGACGTACGGAAACTCCCATTAAATGTTATTGATTTGAAAGGAATATTTGATATTTTAGGGAGGTTAATATAAAATGTTATGTAAGTTTTAAAATCAAATATTTGTTGCTCAAATTGAATTTATGCTTAAAGGCAGAATTTATGCTTAAAAAATGTACGCCCATTTTCAGCCACAAAAAATATATTTAAAAAATCCACGCCTATATTTAGCCCCGGCGAAATTTAAAACAAGTAAGGAAAGTAGTAAAGTCGGACGGGGTCAACTATATGATACCCTTTCACCACTTTGGCTATATTCGACAGATGCATTCTAACATCACATGATATATACAAATATAAACCGACTTAAGGGAACCCCCCGCTTTGCACATATATATTTGAAGATTTAAAAAGGAAGAAAAATAATTTACAAAAATTTTTTGTTGTTGTTTTGTTGTTGTTTTTTTGTAATTAAGGAAAAGTCATTATTTTTGATTGCGGGCATGATAACTCCTCACTGAAACATCGGAATTCGAAAATTCCAACGGTGTTAGAAAGAGTACATGTCTGGCTCTCGTATGAACTAGGATTATTGACATCGCTCTAAAATTAACGTGTAAAAATTTGGAATCGATTGGGTTATTAGTTTTTGAGTTATCGTGCCCGCCATTTGCAAAAGAGACAAACGCGTTTAAAGTTTGAGAAGCCCTTCAGCCGTCACTTGATGCTGACACAATAAATCGGCTATTTCTTCAAGAGTTCTTCAGATTTTCACTTGAAAATTTGTAGGGACATTCTTGAATTAGTGTAGACTCTAATTAAATAAAACAACTTGACCCCGAGAATGGGGGGTCCCCTTAAATCAATCCATAAACATGTCATCTGTAATGAACATGTCCCATCAATATGACAAAAATGAGGGGTTTGGGGCACCATTTAACTAAAATCGGACGAAAATATTAAAGGAAGCTATATCTAAACCGTTTTCAATGAAACTTGTCACAGTTAGTTTATACAACTTTTAGCACATTTTGTGAATTTCGTCAATATTTTGGGTCATTGGTGCATCATTTAATTACACTCGGAGAAAAATAAAATAAGAGCTATATCTAAATCTAAACTGATTTGAACGAAACTTGGCACACGTTAGGCTATACTAACTTCACTACGTTGTCCACAATTTTGTGAACCGTGAACTTTGGTGCACCTTTTGCATTGAATCGGACGAAAATATATATGGGAGCTATTCAGTACGCTTTGCCAAATTTCGAAAGATATACAATGACTATATCTATATATATATATCTAAATCTGAACCCATTTTCACCAAACTTAGCACACATCATTCTCGGCTTAGTTTAGTACGCTGTGCCAAATTTCGTGCAAATCGAAGAATATATAGGGTCTTTGGTGCACCATTTACATAAAATCGGACGAACATATATATTTGGGAGCTAGATATAGCTGTACCGATTTTCAGGAAACTTAACATACATCATTCTAGTCTTAATTCATTACGTTAGGCCAAATTTCTTGCAAATCGAATGATATATAGGGACTTTGGTTCACCATTTACATTAAATCGGACGAAAATATATATGGGAGCAATATCTAAATCTGCACAGATTTTCATGAAACATCGCACACATTCTCGACTCTGTACAATACACTATGCAAAATTTCGCTCAAATCGAAGGATATATAGGGACTTTTGTGCACCATTTAAATATAATCGAACGAAAATATAAATATAAATCTGAACCGATTTTCTCGAAACTTACCGCACATCATTCTAGACTCAATTCAGTATAATATGCCAATTGGGAGCTATATCTAAATCAGCACCGATTTTCACGAAACTTAGCACACATTATTCTAGGCTTAATTTAGTACGCTGTGCCAAATTTCGTGCAAAACGAAAGATATTTAGGCACTTTGGTACACCATTTTCCTTAAATCTTACGAAAATATATATGAGAGCTATATCTAAATCTGTACCGATTTCCACAAAACTTCTCACAATCTGGACTTAATATAGTAGGCTGTGCAAGATTTCTTTTTTTAATCGGAAATATATTGGAAGTTTGGTGCACCATTTACCTAAAATCGGTCAAAACTATATATATAACCGATTTTCTCTAATTTCAATAGGGTTCGTCCTTGGACCTATCAAGTGACCTGTACCAAACTTCATCCAAATCGGATCATAAATGCGACCTACACATTGTTAACAAAAATACATGGACGGACGGACGGACGGACATGCATAAATCGACTCAGAATGTGATTCTATGCATATTCACAAAAGGGACCATGGGCCTATCTCGATTCCTTTCGCCTGTTACAAACATATGCACAAAGACATTATACCCTGTACCACAGTGTGGTGAGGGGTATAAACATAATTTTGGGATTATATTGTTATATTTCCACATATTTTTATCAACCTGAGTAGATCAAAAAAATCTTAGTTGTGTGATATGGACTTATACTGGTCCACATACCGCTATACTGATACTTTTTTTCGATAAAATTCTTTTTTGTTCTACTCCAACAACAGATTTGATATATCAAATGTCATTACAAAATTGTTATTTCCTCACATACTGCAGAAATATTCTGGGTTTCTTCCTGGAAATCAAAGGTGTCCTTCACAGAAAAAAAAGCCACCCCGAAATTTTTGATTAAAAGCTTCATCAGCGTTCGACAAAAAGATGTCGATAACATATTTCAAACGTAGTCGGAAATGTTTATCAAACACCAACAATTCACAAAAAACCCATCAACAAACGAGTTTGACCAAAAAAAATATTAAATTTGTTGGACAATTTTTAATATTTTTTTTTTTTTTGTAATATGCCATATTATTTGTTATTACGTTATTACAAAGTACTTTGTTGAATAGATTGTAAAAGATGGATAACAAATATAAGTTTTTATTCGGTATAGAGATAAACATTTAGTTTAAAGCCGTTAAAATACTGAAAATTTGGAGGTATTTTTGTGGGAGAGCTGTAATAATAAGGGTAAAAATCGGCAATTGCTGTTTAAAAGGTTTTGTATCGTACTACAAGAAATTTAATTTGAAATAATAATAATAATTTGATAAACAAGATTGTCAAAATCCAGAAGCGTTTTTCTGGAGTAGCATAAACTTAATTTTAAACTTAAAAAATCAACTTTTATGCTGAGGGTTCTTCCCAGTGTAAATGTAAAAAACCACCAAATATCAAGACCGGCAAAATCAAAAAATGCGCACAGCTCCAACTCTTTTTCGAATGTGTTCTTTATTATTTCTAAAAACTGGACAAATTTAACAAATAACAAAAGTGAGAAGAAGAATACAAAAAATGCATCGACAGACACACATGCAGATCGGTACCTCTACTTGAGTGCATTCTGCAATAATGTATAATTGAGTGAAATATATATGCTGTTTGTATTTCTAACTATCATTAGAAAGAACAGCAAACAACTCATTGCAAATATTCGTTTTCGATTATTTACTTAGCTATGCTTACGGCCAACGAAAGCAGAGAAAGAAATATTAACAAACGCGAAAAAAGATACAGTGGACACCGATCAACATGCAACAATGTAAATAGTAATAATTTTGACGATTTTAATAATTACAATTGATAAATTAAGTATAAATTACATGAATTGATGACAATAAATATGCGTTGACCTAACATACCGGCCCCATTGAAAGGACACTTTCAATTTAAGAGCATGGCTAATTTGTGAATAGGTCGACGAATAATTCCTTTCTTGGTTTTTACTTCGGCAACTCGTATTCGTCCATCTCCTCCACTTATAGTTTCAATAATTCTACCCATTAGCCACTTCTGAGGAGGAACATTGTCTTCGTGTACCAGCACTAAGGTATTCACAGCAACATTTGGGTTGGAAGACGTCCACTTGTTTCTCACTTGAAGCTCATTGATATATTCATGAGACCATTTCTTCCAAAAGTGCTGTTTTATCTTAGTAATTTGGGCCCAGTGATCAAGATTATTTACGTTTTTGGACGAGAGGTCAAGCTCTGGAAGAGATCGCATCGAACAACCTATAATAAAATGGCCTGGTGTGAGGGCCTCTAAATCGCTCGGATCCGACGACATTGGCGATATAGGTCTCGAATTTAAAATAGCTTCTATCTCAGTTAAGGCAGTGGCGAGTTCTTCGTAGGTCAAGCGAGTATTTGTGAATGTACGAGTTAGATGACCCTTAGCAGATTTAACAGCTGCCTCCCAAAGACCACCAAAGTGGGGTGCTCTGGGTGGAATAAAATTGAAATTTATGAACTCATTGGCGCAGAAATTAGTTATGTGGTTTTTGTTATCTTCATCAAACAAAAACCTTTTCAAATCTTTGAGTTTTGTGTTCGCACCCACAAAGTTTGTGCCATTGTCGCAGAAAATATCTGTTGGCAAACCTCTTCTACCTATCATCCTTTTTAGAGCGCCAATAAAGGAATCGGTGGATAAATCCGACACAGCTTCGATATGAACAGCCTTTGTTGCTAGGCAGACAAACACCGCTACATACGTTTTGTATGGCACCTTTCCTCTGATTCTTAAATACGTGTTTATGGGACCACAGAAATCTACAGCACATCTGGCGAAAACTCGAGAGGGATTGAGACGATCAGCTGGTAAATTTGACATCATTTGTTGTAATAGTTTTGGACGATAACGTATGCAGTGTGGACAGCGATTCACAATAGTACGACAAAGATTTCGTAAATTTATTACCCAAAAACGCATTCTGACAAGAGAGACTAATGCCTTCGGACCGGCATGGTAATTTTTAATGTGAAGATATTGAATGTAACATTTAACAAAGTTGTTTTCCTTCGGCATAATCATGGGGTGTTTTTGAGTTTCAGGAACATGGGCAAGTTCGAGACGACCACCAACTTTCAAAATTGCAATTCCACTCGAATCGTCTATAAATGGATTAAGGCCCTTAAGTGGGCCCTGTGGATCCCTTTTCTTGACTGCGCGTTTTATGTCATCTTTGAAATATTGTTGTTGTACGTTCCAAACTACAGCTAACAGAGCGTATTCTAGTTCTTGGGGTTGTAAGCAATCAGAATTTAAAAACATTGATTTTGGAGAAGATAAGGAATGCCAAAAACGAAATATCCATGCAACAACTCTAATTATCCTTATGTACGAACTGCAGCCCTCGATAAATTTGCTTATACTATTAGGTTGTATCTCCAAAAGAAGTGTAGTTTTCCGTTTTTCTTTATTAACTTCTTCGGGATTTATTTCATTACATTTGTTCATTGGCCACTTATCTTCATTTTGTTTGAGAAAGTTTGGACCACCAAACCAAATCGACGACGTCAAATCCAATACAGTTGATCCTCTAGATACAATATCTGCGGGATTTAAATGAGAAGGCACATGCCTCCATACGCAGCCGTTCGTAGATTCTTGTATTTCCGAAATTCTGTTTCCAACAAAAACTGAAAGGGTGGAAGAGTGTTGTTTCAGCCAGTGCAAAACTATTTGGGAGTCAGTCCACAGATACACTGAAGTCCTTGGTATGCTTTGAATATGTTGTATTTTGTTGTATAGTCTGGATAGTAAGTGAGCCCCACATAGTTCTAAACATGGTAATGATTTTCGCTTTGTTGGAGCGACCTTCGACTTCGCTGTAAATAGTTGTGTGGAAACCGTACCAGATCGTGATAGAACTCGGATGTAAATGCAACAACCATAAGCTCGAATAGATGAATCGCAGAAGCCATGTAATTGTATTGATGCTGGATTTGGTGACAAACAATAACGAGGAATGTTAAGTAAATGTAAGTTTTGCAGATCATCGAGGAAACCTAGCCAAGCAGATGATTTTCGCCTTTATAATCAAAGGTGACACAAGTCCAAGTGGATCAAAGAGTGTGGATGACAACGATAGAATGGAGCGTTTGGAAACTATATCCGTTTTCTGCTTTGGGGAGAAGGAAAACAAAAACTGATCCTTCTGTTGATCCCAAGAGATTCCTAAAGCATTCGTGACTATTGAGTCATATATGTTTAAATCTTTTACCGAATTATCGTGACGAAAATTTTCGTGATTCGAATGCCATTTGTCTAGCTCGAAACACCCAATTTTAAGCAGTTCTGTTACTTGGTGTTTAAGCTCGGTTAACTCTGCAATAGTTTCAGCACCTCCTAGGAAATCATCAACATAAAATGAATTTTTTAAAGCATTTGCACCAATCTCAAATCGTTCAGAGTATTCATCGGCAAGATAATGTAGAGCACGAACTGCAAGAAATGGTGCTGCTGAAGTGCCGTATGTTACGGTATTTAACCGATATGTTTTAATTTCTTCTTCGTCCGAATATCGCCAAAAAATATATTGAAACTTACGGTCTTCTGTGCTGATCAAGACTTGCCTGTACATT